GAGAGAGCGAGAGAGTACAGCGTGTGTGGAGGAGACAGCAATGAGTTGTCGGGGTCTTAGACCGGATAACAATTAGCAACAACACCAACAGCAGCAGCAGCAGCAGCAGCAGCAACAACAACAACAACACCAGCAGGAACCAAGTACTCGCAGCGGGCGCCGCACCCAAGCCGGCAAGCGAGGTCACAGCACATGGCATCGCAATGGACTGGGTAGCACACGACGACCACAACACCTACAACAACGACAGCAGCAGCAGCAGCAGCAGCAGCAGCAGCCAGCAACTACTCACAGCAGCTGATGCCGGTAGACGACCTGCGCCAAGAAGAAGAACATGAGGGCCGGGATGATCACCACCGGCGCCACGCACGCGTAAGTCATGACCACCACCACCACCAGGAGATCTTGCGCGTACATCTTCCGCCGGGACCGCACGGGTGATACGGGCGGACAGAGAGACAAGACGCAGATAGAAGAACACGCGGAGAGAAAGGAAACATACCATATAGTAGCAGCCGGTAAATCATGGAGACGAAGCGACACAAAAATGCCACAAAACATCGACATGACAAAATAAAAAAAAAAGAGGGAAAAAAAGGGTAGAAAGGGGAAGCGCGTGTTGAGAGCGGCCAGAGGGGAGTATGTGAGCTCAAGCCACGAGGTAAAACAAGTCGGGACTATGTAAAAGGAAGGCATGCAAGAAAAACAACGACGTACAAGCGTCATAACATGCTTGTCTAGAGACTAGGAATGCGCTTTGCGGATGGCGTCCCCGTAAAAAAAGACGATTTCAGAAAAAAAAATCATGACCATTCGTATCAAGTCCAGCACCCGACATGACGCTAGAACTGCCCCATGTTTCACCACTACTTTAAACACTGCCAACCGCCGTCTCCAGCAGCAGGAAGGAGGAAGGATCGTGAACGCAAAGCCATTCACATACACGCGAAACACGAACTCCTTTGGCGCGTAACCTACCCCCCCCCCCCTCCCTCCCCCCACCTCGCTTCGCGCGCAGGCGGGCCTGATCGGCGAGAATTGCCGACGTACTCCGTCAAAAAAGACTATTACGGCACACATGATGCATGATGCTACTGAGCCCCCCCCCCCAAAGGTATGTACTTCCCCCGCACCTGGCCGTAGTAGAACCCTCCCGGGTGCATGGGTATCCTGTTAGAGGAGGACCCAGAGTTCACCGGTGAGGACGCGCCCGAGGCGGGCCTGGCGCCGCCCCCGCCGCCGTTGCCGGGGATAGGCAAGTGACGGCCCGCCATCCCGTAGCCGACTCCCTTTCCGACGCCGCCGCCCCCGTTCGAAGCGTTTGACGTTTGGCTGTCGAACCGGTGTCTCCGAGCCTTGGGCGGTGTGATGCGGTGCAATAGGTGTTGTTTCGTGTTAGGAGGGGGTGCCAGAAGTGTGGAGTGAATCAAGGAAGGAAGCACCAAGTACGTTTGTTCAGTTGGGCGGCGGAGATGCGCGGAGGGAGTTGATGAGTCAGTCAGTCAAGCTGGGTTTCGGTGTGAGGTGTTTCGACACCCGAACTGCAGCACTCGTGTGTCCGTTCTTCTGCGGCCATACCCTCATATACCCGTTGTGGCACGAGCGCTAGATTCACGCAAAACTACAAAGATTCTAGAAATATCATGACAGCAGCCACACAGCAACAACAGCAGCAACAACAACAACTGCGGCAACAGCAACAGCAACAGCACCAACAACAGCAGCAGCAGCAGCAGTAGCAGCAGCAGCAGCAGCAGCAGCAGCAGCAGCAGCAGCAGCAGTAGCAGCAGCAGCAGCAGCAGCAGCAGCAGCAGCAGCAGCAGCAGCAGCAGCAGGACACGTACCTCTACTGTGTCCCCATGTATGGGACGCCCCCACGCCTTCTTCTTGGTCAGCATCGCCATCACGGCCGGCAGGAACGCGTAGGCCCTTACCAGCTCCATCGACATGCCCGTGAACGCCCGGATGATCACGTAGTCGCAGAAGAAACCGCACACCTTTTTTTTTCGATACGGAAGAACAAACGACAAGAGAGACGGCAAAAAAAGGTGAACGCGTTGTGTAGATACACAGGAGAAATAGATGAGAGCACACAAACTTGTGCCAGCGACAAAAAAAAAATGCATGTACGCGTAACGCACTAGTGTGTCAAGCTTCATTGCGTGGTACGCATGTCGGGGGGGGGAGGGGGGGCGCAGCAGAAAAAATACTTTGTGCGTATTCTCCCGCCGAAACTGAAGCACCATACATGCTGTCGGCCGAATAGCCCGATCCACAAACTAGATTACCACTCAAGTTGTACGTTGACGCACACGCTACCACAACGGGAGCCTCCCCGAGCCGAAAGTACCGTCGCGAACACACAGACAGGTGTGCAAAACGATCAATCTGTAAGAAAGGTGGATTGCTCCACAACAGGGTGCGAGACCCGACCCGATTGACACACGTGCAAGGGAAGCTCTCGACGACGAGGTCTTGACCAAATACGTGGTACCACCAT